TTGAGTACAACGTAAGCACTTCAGCTTCCATAGAAGAGTTGCAGCTTACCCCCTACCCCTGCACCATGTGCCTCTGTGGGGTGGATATAAGTGTGCTTTAACGCACGCTGAGTGTCAGTCTGAAATTGACTTAAACTGCGCACACTAAAGTAAATTTTACAAAACTTATCCTAAACCCACTTACATGAACTAAAAGTTAGATGGCTGTCCAGCGTATTAGCGCCTTTTGTACGTTAAACCACGCGCGTCACACGCACTTTTTAAGATCTGGCCTGTAAGAACTAATTTCATCATTACTTAGTTTAGAACGCTAACAAAAAGATTTCTTTAAATCCATTTCGAATTCACCAATTACTCTTTCTTTCTTATTCATTTGGCATTAAAACAACAACCTTAATACACTTCAGAAGTTCCCTCGAAGGGATTATGACACGGCTTGCGTAGCGTCCTTCTCACGCTCCGTTCTTTCTTCCGCCCATATTCTTTTCGAACTAGAACTGAGATTTGTTTTGTCGGTTTATTAATAAGCGCTTGCCGATTGGCCCTTACTGATGCAAATCAAAAATAATGCTCCCTTTTTCTAATTACAAAGTTTTCGAAACAGTCAAAAAACGTAAGTCTATGCAAATGCAAATAAGAGGTTGTCATGCTTAAACTGTCTAACTTTTAGATTCATCGATGGGCCATGTTACTTAGAACGCTTTGTTTCTTTATGAAACATGTCCAGGAGTCTACACGGAAGAGGCTTAGCTAGCGAAAGTGGCGGCAAAAATGTAAGTTTGTTAAAAAGCAACTTATCAGGGGGCTTGTGTACTTCACAGATCGTTTCACAAGGCATTTATCGAGGCATCATAATGCATCCACCGTGATATTTCACATTTAATAGATAGTGCAGTTTTATGAAGATTGATTATGATGTTCGGGATAACGTGAAAAATTCCGATCGATGACAAGATTTTGCAATTTTAAATGTTTGCAAACCATTTTCATCAGAGCATAAAGGAAAAATGGATAAACAATTCATGAAGCAGATCGTTACAATTGGTCTTAAATCCCCCGGCTCTCTTCTAGTTTCTTGCTCATTGAAAGTTTAACACAAGCTTTCTGTCGCCATTAGCTTATGTACTACCTATATTAAGTACAATTCATGACCAGAGTTGAGAACAATATAGAACGAAATAATATTCTTTGCGATAATAGCAAGTGAAAAGACATATCGTTATATTTCCGCCTTGATGAAACCAGGCCGGTTTGAGCAGTTAACGCTTGTGACCGGCCAATTCAAGTACATGCAAGTACGTCGTCGACCCCAGGTTTTTTTGTGCATTGAAGATGTCTGCAAATTTATGCTTTTCTCAGCCTTTCCCTTTGGTGTTAAACTCGTATATAAACGTAAAGTATGGTGCGCGTCAAAACCTGACACGGTTCATAACCCAGCCGCAGTCATACAAATTGCGCGTTTTATATGACACGTACAATTTACGGCTCTTCTGCTTTTTGGGAACAACAGATCAGACAAGGAGCGCTTTTGTCAGGAAATTGTCACAAGTGAACGAAAAGCCAATGAACATAATTATAATCAGTGTATGCAGTCAAATGATAACTTACAAGGCAGTGAAAGCTAATTCATGGCTTCGATATTGATTTCCATACTTAAACATTGAAAATAGACAGGCAATATGATTATGATGACGGTCAGAGTGAGCTCACTTATATTTTTATAATGTCGCGGATATGAGTCCTTGTCTGCGTTGTCGTCAGTTTCAACATTTGTTTTGCTCGTCAGAGTTGTGTTGCTCAGGTTGATTTTTTTATTTTTTTCACTATCGTTCTCTTTGGCATTCGACAGACGATAATTTGTTAGTTCAGTTTGCTTCAAAAGCCGATTCTCTCTTGATAATATATAAGGCTGGCTTCTAAAAATGACAAGGCAGAAAATGATTTCCGAACTTTCTATGTATTTGCTCCTATATGCACAAGGAAAGCCGTGTCTCTTGTAATTATAATAACTCCCTAGAATCCAGTAAAGCGGAACTCAGTTAAGCGGACCTCAAAAGCTCTTGTCCTGCTCATGCGCTCGCTTAATCATAGCCAGCTCAAAGCGTCCACGTTCGTACTAAAAATCAAGCTGGTGTATAGACTAAATAACATCGATAACGGATGTATTGGGTATTGTATGTAAGTTTTTATAATAATGGTACTCCTATTAATAGACTCGCATATTTCTAATTTGTATACGATTAACAATATTCGCCAACTACCTTTACGCATGACTTCGTCTTTATAGTTTCACGGTCTTGTCATCATAAAAATAGAATAACAAACAATTAAAGCAAAAACAGGACGGAGCTAGTTAATCACGAGTTAATTGTGGTATGACTCACGTTTTATCTTTCTTCCCAACTTAGGTTAAGAATGAATTTCCAAGATGTGAATGTTTTCTTTCGCATCAAATTTGCTAAATGGCGACTGCAGCACCTTCACCCCTGGCCAGCTCTCCAGCGAAGACAAATGGAAACAAGCTGAGCAGGCTTCTCATCGATGGCGGAACAACAGTACTGAGGAATGTCTTTGATCATAATCACCCACCTGCCAACTTGGCTTCTGGTCTCAATACCAATTACTCCATTCTTAACAAGCTTTGGCGTAGAAGAGTTCTAAATGGCCATCAGTGGGACAAACTGTTTCCCCCTGGTGGAGAAACAATGTTTATACTTAATTGATAACTTTTACCCGTTTCATTTCATTTATTCGATGTAAGTCTTATTTGCAATAAAAACTTCAATATTTTGACCCCTAAAAACTCTCATATTGAGTTTGGTTTACCCTAAGCGAAAAATAGATTTTCCCCTTTGCTCCAAGATGGCCTCACCCTAAAAGCTGAAGTTGCCTTTTAAACTTTTTCAACCTCCTAAAACATACCTAAACATCGATTTTTCCAAAAACAAGAACGCTCTAAAAAGCGTTCAGTCTCGCTTGCTTCGAGATTACATAAGAAATAAGACGCTCTAGAAGTGTTGACTTGAACTTGCTTGGAGATAAGATAAGAAATTAGGAGGCAATTAATGCTTAAGGAGCCTGTGTTTGGGTGTGGAAGCCATAGGGACCATGTGGGGTAAAAGATGCTAGCTAGCCAGGTTACACAGTAACCATTGACTGCCTTTCAGGGAGCGTTTGGTATATACAATAATATAGTATTCGCACTCCAAACCTATTCTCTGACTTTAGCATCCTTTATATCGGCTATTTTTAATTATTATAAGTCCGCGTTAGCTGTTTCCTCTGATTGTGAAGACCCACGTTCGTTCAAGTCTATCTGTTTAAAATGTAATAGTGTTGGTCCCTTGTCTCGTCCAGTAACTTGTTGTATATAGCTGTAGTTTTTCTTGTATCGCTGTGTTTTTTAATATTTCTTGGTTTTTTTATATAAGTATCCGAGCCCGCTGTAATTGGCCACAGCTGTTGCGGTGTCCCTGTCAACGTTCTTTCTGTTTGTTTGTTTGTATTTTTTTTGGCGAAGCTAATAGAAAAGTAACTTGTCTGAATGTAGACTGCTTCTCGCGAACCGTTACAGTCTTTCAAAGGCTTCTTCTTCAAAATGACGTCCCGTGTTGAGGATGCCAAATAATGAAATTGTATAACATGTTTAATACTCAAAACTCTGAGAACCAAATCCTGCTCAGCGGCACATATTTTAGACCAAATAAGGGAATGCCCAGCCCCCCTCCCTCCGGGGTTTCTATGAAGGAATCCCGACCGATAAGAGACAAACCAGTTAGCTATCTACAAGCTGGCCTGGGAACAGCAGACGCAATTCAGGTCGACGCTTCTTTCCCTCCGAAAATATTTTTCGGAGGGAGAGCGGCGACGACCGGAAATGAGTCTGCTGTTCGCAGGCTAGCTTGTATGCTATTTACAAGCATGCATGGCCAAAGCAGTCAGTGCCTGTCATAAGAAACAAGCCCAGCTTGAGGAACAGGGAACGTCTGGCTTTATTAGCAGCAGTTTGATTAAATGACGTTCAGCTTTAGCAAAGTCGATTTGAAGTCTGGGTCAGTCAGGTTGAGTTATGTCCAGTCTTGCACCAGACTCCCTAATGGGGAAAAGGGGAAAAAAAGGATAGCTAGGCATAGGAAAGGTAAAAGGGCGGTGGCCATTCACCCACTTCCCCTCTTCCCATCTCTTCCAATATTAAGCCCCCTTTCCCCAAACGGAGGGGCTTTTCACGGGCTAAGTTGTGTATGAATCGGTGGTGGGGTCACTGGGGTGGGTTCAAAGTGATATATATGGTGGGTATGATGGAATAGTACTAATGAAATATTCTCCAGATTCCCAGAGGTTAGCATCTAACCCATTTGAGTACAACGTAAGCACTTCAGCTTCCATAGAGGAGTTGCAGCTTACCCCCTCCCCGTGCACCATGTGCTTCCGTGGGGGTGGGTATAAGTGTGCTTTAACGCACGCGAAAATAGTACAACTGTACTGATCAAATAATTTTTCTGCTGAGTGTCAGTCTCAAACTGTGCACGGTAAAATTTTACAAAACTTCTCCTAAACCCAGTGATGATTATCATCATTCCGCTTACGATGAACTTAAAGTTAAATGGCTGTCCAGCGTATTACCGCCTTTTTGTACGTTAAACCGCGCGCGTCACACTCACGTTCTAAGATCTGGCCTGTAAGAAATTATTTCATCATTACTTAGTTTAGAACGCCAACAAAAAGATTTCTTTAAATCCATTTCGAATTCGCTAATTACTCTTTCTTTCTTATTCATCTGGCATTAAAACAACGACCATAATACACTTCCGAAGTTCCCTGGAAGGGATTATGACACGGCTCGCGTAGCATCCTTCCCACCGCGCTCCGTTCTTTCTTGCGCCCATACTCCAATTTCGAACTAAAGCTGAGATTTATTTTGTAGGTTTATTAATAAGCGCGTGCCGATTGGCGCTTATTGATGCAAAACAAAAATAATGCTCCCTTTTTCTAATTGCAAAGTTTTCGAAACAGTCAAACAACGTAAGTCTATGCAAATGCAAACAAGAGGTTGTCATGCTTAAACAGTCTAACTTTTAGATTCATCGATGGGCCATGTTACTTAGAACACTTTGTTTCTTTATGAAACATGTCCAGGAGTGTACACGGAAGAGGCTTACCTTGCGAATGTGGCGGCAGAAAGGTAAGTTTGTTGAAACGCAGCTTCAGGGGGCTTGTGTACTTCACAGATCGTTTCACAAGGCATTTATCGAGGCATCATAATGCGTCCACCGTCGTGATATTTCACATTTAATATAGTGCAGTTTTATGAAGATTGATTTTAATGTTCGGGATAACGTGAAAAATTCCGATTAATGACAAGATTTTGCAATTTTAAACGTTTGCAAACCATTTTCATAAGATCGAGAGCATAAAGGAAGAATGGACAACCAGTTCACGAAGCAGATCGTTACAATTGGTCTTAAATCCCCCGGCCGGCTAAGCTCTATTAGCTTCCAGTTATGACTTGCTCAATAAAATATTAACTCAAGCTTTCTGTCACCATTAGCTTATATGCTCGCTATATTTAGTACAAGTCATGACAAGAGTTGAGAAGAATATGGAACGAAAGAATATTCTTTGCGATCCTAGTGAGAAGACATATCTTTATATTTCCGCCTTGATGAAACCAGACCGGTTTAAGCTATGAATGCCTGTGACCTAGCTGCCAATTCAAGTACATGCAAGTACGTCGTGGACCCCAAACTTTTTGTTTGTGTGTATTGAAGATGTCTGCAAGTTTATGCTTTTCTTAGCTTTTCCCTTTGCTGTTAAACTCGTATATAAACGTAAAGTATCGTGTGCGTCAAAAGCTGACACGGTTGATAACCCAGGCGCAGTCATATGCATTGCGCGTTTTATATGACACGTACAATTTGCGGCTCTTCTGCTTTTTGGGAACAACATATCAGACAAGCAGCGCGTTTGTCAGAAAATTGTCACAAGTGAACGAAAAGCCAATGATCATAATTATAATCAGTGTATGCAGTCAAATGATAACTTACAAGGCAGTGAAAGCTAATTCATGGCTTCGGTATTGATTACGTACTTAAACATTGAAAATAGGCTAGACAGGCAATATGATTATGATGACGGTCAGAGTGCGCTCACTTATATTCTTGTATTCTCGCTGATATGAGTCCATCTGCGTTGTCGTCAGTTTTAACATATGTTTTGTTCGTCAGAGCTGTGTTGCTCAGGTTGATTGTTTTTTGTTTTTTCACTATCCTTGTCTTTGGCATTCGATAGACCGATAATTTGTTCATTCAGTTTGCTGAAACCGATTCTCTCTTGATATAATATAATGCTGGCTTCTAAAAGCGACCTGGCAGTAAATGATTTCCGAACTTTCTATGTATTTGATCCCAAATGCACAAGGAAAGCCGTGTCTCCTGTAATTATAATAACTACTTAAAGTCCAGTTAAGCGGAACTCAGTTAAGCGGACCTCGATAGCTCTTGTCCTGCTCATGCGCTCGCTTAATCATAGCCAGCTCAAAGCGTTCCCGTTCGTTCTAAAACTCAAGCTGGTGTATAGACTAAATAACATCGATGAATGATGTATTGGGTATTGTATGTAAGTTTTCAATAATAATGGTACTCCTATTAATAGACTCGCATATTTCTAATTTGTATACGATTAAACGTATTCGCAATCTCCCTTTACGCGTGACTTCGTCTTTATAGTTTCATGGTCTTGTAATCATAAAAATAAAGTAACAAACAATTAAAGCAAAAACAGGACGGAGCTAGTTAATCACGAGTTTATTGTGGCATGACTCACGTTTTATCTTTCTTCCCAACTTAGGTTAAGAATGAATTTCCAAGATGTGAATGTTTTCTTTCGCATCAAATTTGCTAAATGGCGACTGCAGCGCCTTCACCCCTGGCCAGCTCTCCAGCGAAGACAAATGGAAACAAGCTGAGCAGGCTTCTCATCGATGGCGGAACAACAGCACTGAAGAATGTTTTTGATCGCTATCACCCTCCTGTCAGCTTGGCTTCAGGTCTCAATACCAATTACTCCATTCTTAACAACCTTTTGCGTAGAAGAGTTCTAAATGGCCATCAGTGGGACAAACTGTTTCCCCCTGGTGGAGGGGTGCCAGACTCTAACACGTTTGACATCACTCTTCTTTTTCTACTGCTAACCAACATTTGTGGCTTATCCCCTCCCCTGACTGGATGGCACTCCAAGCCATCCCCTGGTGATAACTCTCTTGAGGCTAACCTTGCTCGCGTTAAGTTCTTCCGGAATGAGTTGTATGGTCACGTGACGTCCACAGGGGTTGATGCGACATCTTTCTCCTCCTTCTGGCATGAAATAAGCATTACTCTTCATTCGCTGGGTTTAGATCAAGCTGATATTGACAGACTGAAGGCAGAGCATGGAGCAGAGGAAGATTACCTTGATGCCTTAATTGAGTGGGCTGACAGTGAAGAGGACATAAAAACGCAGCTGAAAGACATCCACCAGACGCAACTAAAACTCAGTAAAACAGTTGAAGATGTCAATTTAAACATGGAAGAGCTACGTCAAGCCCTAAGCAAAACTCAGGATGTTGTAGATGAAGCAGTGGAGATAGAACTCAAAGGACATCAAGAATTGAGGGCAGCACACCAGGAAAGCATGTCACGTTTAGAGGGAGTGTGTGAGTCCCAAACTAAAACCAGCCAAGCTGTGGACGAAATTCGTGAATCAATCCAAGAAGTAAAACAGGAAGTAAAAGGCTGGACGAAAAAGAAAAGCGAGCACGCAGATGAGGTGCTTAGGACCCTTGTGAAGTTTGAATTCAAAGGAGACATAGAATTTCATGCAAACAAATTCCAGGAAGGAACTCGTGAGTGGATCTTCAAGAGGATCGAAGACTGGTTAGACGACCGGAGCTTGCCACACCGGGCGATGGTAATCAGTGGAAATCCAGGGATGGGAAAGACTGTTATCTCCGCTGTTGTTTCGCAAAGAATTCAAAAAGCTGGAAGACTCTCGGGAAGCCACTTTTGTCAGCATGACGATTCACGCTACCGAGATCCACGTTTAATGCTCCAGTCTTTGGCCTGTCACTTGTGTCAAGCGATGCCAAATTACAAAGATGCTCTAGTGGAACAGCTGTCAAGAAATCTGGGTAAAGACCTCAACAACATGGGTATAAAAGAGCTGTTTGCGTTGCTGTTTAAAGAGCCTCTAAGCACAGTGCAAGATCCTGGAAGAAACATTCTAATAGTCATAGATGGCCTCGATGAAAGCGAGTACAAAGGACGCAATGAGCTTCTACATGTAATCAGTAACCATTTCTCTATGCTTCCAGTCTGGATCAGAATTTTGATCACAACTCGTCCAGAGAAGAACGTTACAGAGGCATTGCGACATTTGAAACCAATAGAGCTTGAACAAAAAGAAGAAGAAAACTTAAAGGACATTCAAACCTTGTTTGAAACACAACTCAGCCTCAAAATTGGTGAGGAGCACAAACATGTTCTCTTGAAAGAGCTGGTCAAGAAATCAGAAGGCCTGTTTATTTACGCTTACTTTATAGTGGATTTTATCCAAAAGAATGTTTCAATTCTCACTCCTGATCAGCTGGAAAGTGTGTTACCTTCAGATATTTCATCCGTTTACTTGTCCTATTTTACACGGTTAGAGGATGAACTTTGCAAAGAGCTTAATGCAGATGAGGAACATTTTTTGCGTTTCCTGTGTGCATTGACCGCTGCAAGGGAACCATTACCAGTAGAATTCATTGCCAAAATTCTAAACCCGGGAGGAAAATCTTTGACTGCGCAACGAAAAATTAACAAAGCGATATCTTGCATCTCTACACTGTTACCAGTTCGGGAGGGTCGTCTTCACTTCTTTCACAAGTCAATCAAGGACTGGCTAGTAGCATCATCGCCCTATGAACCACATGATTTCACCGTGGACGAGAAAGAAGGTGATACTGTCCTTTCTGATCTGTGTGCTTCTGAACTCGATAGCTTGCAGCGAAAAGGGGTTCATGGCAAACAGTTTTCGAATACTGAAACATATGCTTTGCATCATGGTACTCAGCACATGCTTGAGGTCACCGATCATGACTGCGCTGACAAATCAAGAACCAATAGTGTCACAGTAGAACAGGTGTACCGATACGCAACAGAAGTCGAACTTATTTATGCAAAACTTTGTGTTAAGAGCACATCAGCTATAGAAGATCTTCTCAGCCTCCACCGTGAGAATTCCGGAATAGTAAGCGAGGAAAGAGATTTTGTTGTGACTTCTCTCCTAAGTCTTCTGAGAAAACACTCTTACATCTTGTTTGATTACCCTCACCTATTTTTCCAGTGTTTGATTAACGAAGGTACCCCTGGATTATCGTCTACAGCAGCAGGTATTGTTAAGTCATCAACTCCAAAGGTGCCATACATGAAGTATTTAGACAATGAGAAACAAAAGGGAGCCGTTCAGGGACGATTTTACTGTTCAGATAAAATCGCATGTTTTGATATTTCACCTAAATTGGATTACATGGTATGCGAGTGTCGAGATGAAACAATCCATCTTTTTTCCCTGCTGACTGGTACCAAAGTATGGGTTCGTCCATCGCTAACAAACAGAACGTATAGTTCCAAAGAGGCATATGCGGGTAGTGGTGCATATCGACAAACTGGGCATTTTCTGTCATTTTATCACTCTGTCACATTTCATCCAAATGGGAAGTCGATAATACCAGGAACTCTTAAATATGTTTACACCATTAGTGGAGATAGGGAAGAACTTTTTCCGGACAGTGACTGCACATTTTCATATTGCTTCTTACGATCTTATAAAGACAAGGAAGTGATATTTACAGATTGCCCAGATGATCCAAAGAAGATAATCATTTGGGATATGGAGAATGGCCAGAAGCTCAAAGTTATTATCGATTCGGATAAGGAAATTTCATCCTTTACTATTTCTGGCGATGGGTCACGTATCGCTATTTCTGAAGCGAATCGTAAGATTACTATTTTTTACCTAATAGACGAGTTTGGTTTGAGATTCCCCGACGCTGGTAAAGATGACTGGGTGTGTGGGTTGATGCATTTCACATCCGATAATGATACTCTGGTTTGTGGATGTCTATTAGCCTCTTGCGAGGACTACAGATGCCCGTTTGATGCGTTAGAACCTGACGAAAGAAAACCAACAGTTTCCTTCAAAACTCCTCTGAATAACGTTTCCCTGCCAGATCCGCATTTTGAACCTGTTGATCCCAGAACCTTCGTGTTATGGCCCTCTGCTCCACCAAGCTCTTTGACTGAATGTACTTTTATGGAGCAGGATGAAGGACCTTCCTGGGTGTCGAAGGTGCAGAGAGAGATTCCGTATTTGTTCTCAGGTTCCTACATCAGCCTTAACGATGAAACAATTTTGGTTGGTAGTCCAGATCACAAATATGTCACGATGTTAAATGTTGGTCTACTGCAAAGCGAGTCCGACTCGACTTACTCCTCGAACGTTAACGTGGGTGTCAGGAAGATTATTTTTTCTATGGAAGGCGATACAGTATACGTCGTAAGTTCAGACCAGTTTGTCTTCCTTAGCTCACAAGAGGTAAAGATAACCATCTGGAAACTGTCAAGTCGAGAATTTTTGAAGACAAAGACATTCTTTGGCCCTGTGTCGATTGTTCCAACGAAGGAAGGTCTCGTACTCTTTAAAAATGATCGTGTAGTAGAGTTGTGGAATTTCGACCTGTCGGAGTGCATTAGAAGTATTGTTAAACTTACCAGTGATACTAGTATTGTGTATTCAGTAACCTTGATACCAGTATCAGATGAACTGATAGCCTTTTATTATTCGCCACAATCACGGGAATCAATTTATATCAGAAGTCTAGAAGAATCTGAAGAAAACGAAAACTTACACGACGACCTGTTAGAGTGTACACCTCTCGAGGATTGTACAGATTATTGTCTTGACGTTATGAGCACAACCGGCGTTCAGGGGGGAAAGCTTGTGTCCTCACTAAGGTTGACATGTTACGACGAATGGGGATACTTATATAGCATTTCATGCAATAGTCCGAGCAATGTTTTGGTTTGCCGTTTTGCAGGGCAATCCTGGGGACCTATAGACGAGGGGGTGGTCACAGTTAGTTTATTAAACAAAGGATCAATTAAATGGGAACGAATCGCGGATAATTCATATCTTCGCGACGAACACATGATTTTCTCGCCTAAGAATGAGTTTGTTGTTACGTGGAACACTCTCGACGAAGGTCAAGGTCTACATGTTCTTGACGCAGATACTGGAGAAACACTGCACGTCCTTCTTAGAGACCAGAACGACATTATTGAATGTAAGTTTTTAAATGATGAAACTCTCGTATGCTGCAGTGGGGACAACTTCCTTCGATTGTGTAATGTCAGAACCGGACATCTGCTAAGTGTTCTAGACATTGGAGAGCAACCGCTCTGTTTGGGAGCCTGTCTGAATCAGCCTCTTGTCGCCATTGGTTTGTCCGGCACAAGAATAAAATTCTTCCACGTACAGTTGCCAACAGAATCTAAAAAGAAGTATTAAAGGTGGGCTTTTCTCTACTCGGTCAAAAATAGGCGGCACAAGGTCAGTTTCGCGAGCTACTGTAGCCTAACATACCCTAACATTACCTACACTCAATGAGCAGTGTCTATTTTTTCAGTCCGTGGAGCGGAAGGCGCAAAATACGCAAATAACGGCGTGTGCGGTTCAGGGTGCGGGCTTCCTCGTGCGCGAGTACTTCCTTCAATTAAAAGTTGAAAGGGACTGTAAGATCCAACGACGCGACAGCAACGAAAACGTCGCTTAAAAAGTGCATTTGTGTTCTTCATTCTTTATCGGGATTATTCCTACTTACTTACTTGGTCAAATGTACGCGAACACTCCTGAATATGAATTCCAAGGGACCATACTCAAGTTCAGAAAGCGAAATAAAATTTCTTCGTTGCTTGTTTACGTTCTCCATAAAACACGAAATTAGGCATTTCAAGTCTTACTTGTGCAAAAACGGCAAAGAAATGTACAAAAAAGCGCGATGCCTGTGCAAAGTTGTTGTTTTGTTTATTAAACCCTTTTTTTTAGGACGTTTTCGTTGCCGTCGAGTCCGTTTGAATCTTAAAGTCCCTAATTTGACGAAAATAGGGGACTACTTGCAGCCTAAGCCAGGAGGCATAATTGATTTTGGCTCCTGGCCTAAACAGTCCCCACACCACAACACAATTAGTAGATATACGTCTAGAGTGAATCTTATTCTTACAAATTTGCGCACGAAAATTCATAAATGGTATTCCGCGAGTTTGGGGGAACAAATACCGATGTTACAAAGGGTATAATAACATTCTTTGATCTGCTGATGAAAAGGAACAGCGCCAAAATTAAAGAGAGAGCCGGCCATAAAGTTAAGTGAATGTACCAAAGACGGTTTTGAAAGATTTTTACAGTAGGACACAGATGATAGTGAAGCAGGGAGATCGTCGCCATCACGTCCACGACTTACAGCAACTTCAAGAATTCTTTTGTTTTGTAACGTGACATATTATTAAATTTCGCAACTTTTATTTTTCTTGCATTCCAGCTTTCACAAGTTGTAGATTTTGGGATTGTTTTGAATTTGCGAAAAACGCGAATTTTAGACTTGATAGCTTCCAGCTTTCTTAAATAACACAAGCTACTTTCTGTTTTCAGTTGCAGTTTCAACACAAGTAAATTGAGCAACTTCTGGTGGCCTAGCCGGGCAAAAAGAGCTGGATTCTTCAAATCAATGACCCGTATCTTTATTTAGTGTTGTGTTTGACGATGGATAAAGAGCATGAAGAAAAATGACTGCAAAAGCTGGAATTCAAATCCAGTTGAAGAGTCCCGGATGCAAGCTGGTGTATTCAGGAATTGAAAGAGACATGTACATGTATATTATGAACTTTGAAATTTGTATAGGTAATAGTATGATTTGTAGTGATATTTGGCATAAATACCACGAGTGATATTTCGGAATTGTTATACGTAATTTGAAATTTGAGACGATTTTGAAATACCACGAGTGGTATTTATGCCAAGTATCACTACAAATCATGCTATTATTTGGTTATGCTACTACCCGCAAAGATTTTGTAATTTTCACATGTAGTTATTTCAAATTAAGCAATTGGAGAAATTTCTCATGTAGTAGTCTAATGTACGTACCGAATAGCGCCTGATGTAGGGAGGGGTCGGGGATCGGAGGGAGGGTCCGTAAAAAGCACCAATCATACCAACTGCTTTGAAACTGGAAAAAAGGCTGAACATTCGCATACAGCCTTCATTTGGTAGCTTACGATGGGACTTGTTTTTAACCCTTAATCATGATCAGTACACCTTTTTCAAACCAATGGCTCTGGGCAAAACGTACATCTAAACCGACAAGAAGAACGTTGTGAACCTTTTTTTTCTGTATAGCTTTTTTGTGAATGTTACAGATGTCTGAAAGTGATTCACATCTTAACACTATAGTAAAAAAAACTATACTAAGGTACGGTAGTGATGTTCGGGTCATGTTAACACTCGGTTCCATGACCCGGACTGCACCACACTGTGTTTCTGAGATTTGACAAGCGCGTCAACTTGGGTTAATTTATATAACAGTTAAAATTATGTGTTGTACGATTATCATGACATTAGAGGTCTACAAAGTTGACGTTGCCTTGTAGAAGTAATGTGTAATGGCTAGAAAGGGTGAAAATTATCAGCAGTTAAACAGATTCAACAGATGAAATGAGTTGAACTACGCTACTCGATCCTCTCTTTCCTGACTCCTCCTTATCAAAACGCAAAGATCCAGCCACGTGACCATCCCTGCTTGCAGGGGTTTGTCTGTTCTGGCATGGTTTGTAAACAAGCCAAATACGCGAATGTTTTAGCAACGAAAAAGACTTCATAATTGCTAAAAACCATTCCGAAAAGAGACCCCCGCCTGCTCACACGGTAACGTTACCATGTTGTTACTAGGCTGATTCAGCAACAGAAGGGGACGTCATTTCACGACGGGAAAGCGCGCGGAAAGGACCACTCGACTTCCGGTGCTCAATTTGGCACTCTGCCATTGGTCAAGCCAGTTGTTTGATTTGCGCGCACCGTTGTCAAATGACGTTCCCGTTCTGTTGCTAAGTCAGCCTAGTAGAGAAAGAGCAAGGGCGAGGGTCTGTTTTCTTTTTTATTTTCGCAAAATGGCTGGCAGTGAAACCAATTTATTACTCGAATTCCACAATTTGATTTTCCGGATATGTTACGAACTGTGCATGTTATAAGGTCAACTTGATGGTACAATCAACAAATAGAAAAGTGCCAGAAAACTGGGATAATTCATGGGGTCACGTTGTACAGTGGAATCTCGATATTTTTAGAACCTCTGCATAATCACTGTACCGGTACAATGTGAAGTATAAAGTACAATCAAACCCCCTCAATGCGGACAGTGAGGGACCATTGAAAGTGTCGGTATTAACGGGATGTCCGTATGAAGCGGGTTGAATTTAGAGAAAGTATAAGGACTTTCTTTTCCCAGGGACAAAACAAACTGTCTGTAATAATGAGGCGTCCGTTTTGAGCGGGTGTCCGGCATAAAGCGAGGTTTGACTATATGGAACAATACCCCACAATAGAGGATCCTCTCTTATCTCCCAATAAACGTATACCTTCTTTTTATTAGGTGCAACCACAACAAATGGTAAATTTATTTCCATCTTGAAAATAGTACCACGATAATGGTACTTATTAGTTTTTTTTATCTATGGCAGGATTATGGGCTCCTAGACACTGGGGCGAAGAATATGATTAGTTTTACTGGCGGGGTCTTTCGTTACGTAGGGGCTGTATCGAGGTTCAACTGCATGTAATATCCAAATATCAGTTAAGTTTGTACATTCTCAATTCCATTATCGCACTCCTCAGCAGCTTTTCTAAAGTTCAGTTCTGTTAAAGATAGCCTGCATAGCTTGCCTCCCTCGTGTGACTTTTCTTCTTTGTCACCATTTGTTGGATTATAAATAAGCGATTGGCGATTGGCGATTGGCACTCATTGATGCAAAACAAAACAACACTCCCTTCTTCTAATTGCAATAAATTCGAAACAGTCAAGCAACATAAGTCTATGCAAATGCAAACAAGAAGTTGTCGTACTCAAACTGTCTAAATTTGAGATTCATCGATGGGCCACGTCACTTAGAACACGTTGATTCGTTAAGAAACAAGTCCAGGGATCTACATGGAAGAAGCTTTGCGACAGAATGTGGCAGCAGAAAAGGTAAATTTATCAAAAATAGCTTCAGGGCCTTGTGTACGCCACAGATCGTTTCACAGGGCATTTATCGAGGCATCTAGATGTATCCATCTCGATATTTCACCTTTACTATGTAGTGCTGAGTTTTGTTAAGATTACTTCCTTTACGTTTGGGATTCTGAAAATGAAATTCCGATCGATGCCAACAGCTTGCAATTTTCAAAGTTTGTAGAATATTTTTTAGGAGAGAGCATAAGAAACGAATCGATAAACAATTCTTAAAGCAGATATTACAACTGGCCTTAAACTCTTCGCTCTTTTAAGCTCTATTAGCTTCTCCATGTAGCTACTTGCTAAATAAACGTTTAACTCAAGCGTTCTGTCACCATCAGCTCATGTGTTTCTAGTAGAAGACATAACGGACGTTGATAATATCGAACGAAGGAATATTCTTTGCGACCCTCAGCAGTGAGGAGACACATCCTTATATTTCTGACTTGAAGAAACCAGGCCGGTTTGAGTTATGAACGCCTATAATCGTCCAATTCAAGTACATGCAAGTACGACGTACACCCCTGGGATTTTTTCTGTGTATTGAAGATGTCTGCAAGTTAAATTTAAGCTTTTCTTAGCTCTTCCCTTTGCTGTTAAACTCGTGGATAACCGTAAAGTATGGTGCGCGTCAAAAGCTGACACGGTTGATAACCCGCAGCCGCAGTCATTGCGCGTTTTATATGACACACTACTCTTCTGCTTTGGGGAACAACGGATCAACAAGCAACGCCTTGTCAGAAAACTTGTAAAGAACTCACAAATGAACGAAAAAATATGCCAGTGGTCATATCGATTCAGAATGTATAAAGTCAAATGATGACTTAAAATGCAGTGAAAGCTAATTCATCGCTTGAATATCGATTACCGTACTTTAAAATTGAAAATACCACAGGCAATATGATTATGATGACAGTCAGAGTGTTCTCGCTTATATTCTCTTATTGGTCCTTATTGAGTGTCGCAAATCTGAGAAAATTGATATGGTCCATGTCTGCCTTTTTTGTCGGCTTACAAATTTGTTTTGCTCGTCAGTGTTATGTTGCTTAGCGAGATTATTGTGTTCAATATCGCTGTTTATGAAATTGAATAGACCAACAATTTGTTCATTCAGGTGCTTTAAAAAACTCATAATGTATAATGCATGGTTCTAAAACACGATCTGGCAGTAAATGATTTCAAAACTTTTATGCCTCAAGTATTTGCTTCTATATGCAGAAAGAGAAACCGCCGTGTCTCTTGTAATTAAAACAGCTGTATAACTCCCTAATATCCAGTAAAGCGCAACCTTGGGACTTCAAAAGCTCTTCTCCTGCTAACGGCGCTCGGTTAACCAACTCAAATCGTCCACTGTCGTAAATCTATCTTAATACCCTCGACAGCAAATGTCGTGTTTAACACCTTTCTCGAAGGCCTTGGTTTTAATTTCTTACCAGTCATACTCCCATAATTGTCATATTTCTAATTTGTATACGATTACAATGCAATATTCGCGAACTCTCATAGTTACGCGTGACGTCGTCTTTATAGTTTCATAATAATAATTACAAAAACACAAATTAAATGAAAACAATGACGGAGCGAGTTGATCGTTGTGGTGTGACTTAAGTTTTATCTTTCTTGCAAAACGCAGGTTAAGAATGAATTTCCAAGACAGGAAAGTTTTCTTCTGCGTCAAATTTGCTAAATGGCGACTGCAGCACCTTCACCCCTGGCCAGCTCTCCAGAGAAGACAAATGGAAACAAGCTGAGCAGGCTTCTCATCGATGGCGGAACAACAGTACTGAGGAATATTTTCGATCACTATCACCCACCTGCCATCTTGGCTTCTGGTCTCAATTCCAATTACTCCGTTCTTAGCAACCTTTTGCGTAGAAGAGTTCTAAATGGCCGTCAGTGGAACAAGCTCTTTCCCCCTGGTGGAGGGGTACCAGACTCTAACACATTTGACATCACTCTTCTCTTCCTTCTGCTAACCAACATTTGTGGTTTGATCCCTCCCTCGTCAGGGTGGCATGCTAAGCCATTTCCGGGTGATAGCTCTCTTGAAGCTAACCTTGCTCGAGTTAAGTTTTTTCGCAATGAGTTGTATGGTCACGTGACCTCCACGGGAGTTGAAACGACATCTTTCACTACCCTGTGGCAAGAAATAAGCACCACTCTTTATTCGCTCGGTTTAGATCAAGCAGAAATTGACAGACTGAAGGCAGAGCAGGGAGGAGAGGAAGATTACCTTGATGCCTTAATTGAGTGGGCTGACAGTGAAGAGGACATAAAAACACAGCTAAAGGATATCCAGCAGACGCAACTTAAACTCAGTAAAACGGTTGAAGATGGCACTTTAAAGATGGAAGAGCTACGTCAAGGCCTAAGCAGAACTCAGGATGTCGTAGATGAAGCAGTGGAAATAGAACTCAAAGGACAACAAGAAATGAGGGCAGCACAGTCACGTTTAGAGGGAGTGTGTGAGTCCCAAGACGAAATTCGTGCGTCAATTCAAGTGGTAAAAGAGGAAGTAAAAAGCTTGACGAAAAAGAGAAACGAGCAGGCAGATGAAGTGCTAAGAACTCTCGTGAAGTCGGAATTCAAAGGAGACATAGAATTTCATGCAAACAAATTCCAGGAAGGAACTCGTGAGTGGATCTTCAAAAGTATTGAAGACTGGTTAGATGACCGAGCATCGCCACATCGGGTGATGGTAATCAGTGGAAATCCAGGGATGGGAAAGACTGTTATCTCCGCTGTTGTTTCGCAAAGAATGCAAAAGACTGGAAGACTCTCGGGAAGCCACTTTTGTCAGCATAACAATTCAAGGTACAGAGATCCGCGTTTAATGCTCCAGTCTTTGGCCTGTCACTTGTGTCAAGCGATGCCAAGTTACAAAGATACTCTGGAAGAACAGCTGTCAAGAAATCTGGGAAAAGACCTCAACAACATGGGTGTAGAAGAACTGTTTGCGTTGCTGTTCAAAGAGCCTCTAAGCACGGTACAAGATCCTGGAAGAAACATCCTAATAGTTATAGATGGCCTCGATGAAAGCGAGTACCAAGGACGCAATGAGCTTCTACATGTAATCAGTAACCACTTTCCTATGCTTCCAGTTTGGATGAGAATTTTGATCACAACTCGTCCAGAGAGGAGCATAACAGAGGCATTGCGACATTTAGAGCCAATCGAGCTTAAACAAAGGCGTGAGGAAAACTTAAATGACATTCAAACCTCGTTTGAAAATCAACTCAGTAACAAAATTGGTGAAAAGCATAAAGATATTCTCTTGAAAGAGCTGGTTAAGAAATCAGAAGGCCTCTTTATTTACGCTTACTTTATAGTGGATTTTATCCAAAAGAACGTTTCAATTCTCACCCCCGATCAGCTGGAAAGCGTATTGCCTTCAGGTATTTCATCCGTTTACTTGTCCTATTTCAAACGTTTAGAGAATGAACTTTGCAAAGAGCTTCATGCAGATGAGGAACATTTTTTGCGTTTCCTGTGTGCTTTGACCGCTTCAAGAGAACCCCTGCCAGTGGAATTTATTGCCAAAATTCTATATCCTGGAGAAAAATCATTGACTGCGCAGCGAAAAGTTAAAAAAGCAATATCTTGCATCTCTACACTGTTACCAGTTCGCGAGGGTCGTCTTCACTTCTTTCACAAGTCAATCAAGGACTGGTTAATAGCATCATTGCCTTATGAACAACACGATTTCGCGGCGGACGAGAAAGAAGGCCATTACGCCCTTTCTGATCTTTGTGCTTCTGAACTCGATAGCTTGCAGCGAAAAGGGGTTCATGACAGACAGTTTACGAATACTGAATCATATGCTTTGCATCATGGTACCCAGCACATGCTTCAGGTGGTGAATGATCATGACTGCGCTGACGAAACAAGAGCCAATAGTGTCACAGCAGAACAGGTCTACAAATACGCAACGGACCTGGAGCTTGTTTATGCGAAACTTAAAGTTAAGAGCACGTTCGCTACAGAAGATCTTCTCAGTCTTCACAGTCAAAGTTGCAGTTTATTAAGCGATGAAAGAGATTTCGTTGTGACGTCTCTCCTTAGCCTTCTTAAAAAACACTCTTATATCTTGGTTGATCACCCTCACCTACTTTTCCAATGCTTGATTAACGAAGGAATTCCTGAATTATCGTCTTCAGCAGCAATTATCCTTGAATCGTCAACACCCAAAATACCCTACATGAAACATTTAAAGAATGAAGACCAGAGAAGAGCTAATAAGGCAAGGTTTTACTGTTCAGACAAAATCGTTTGTTTTGATGTTTCACCTGAAATGGACTACTTGATATGCGAATGTCGAGATGGAACTATCTGTCTGTGGTCCCTTCTGACAGGTAACAAGATATGGGTTCGGCCAACATTGACGAAGAAAGAGTTCTATTCTGGATATCCAGACGACAGTGCATACCGTGTTGTAGGTAATAACTCTTTGTCTTATTACCGTTCTGTGACGTTTCATCCAAATGGGGAATCTGTGCTAGCAGGGACACTGCAGTTTGTGTATACTCTGGATGGAGATAGGAAAGACCTTTTCCCCAGCAGTGATTGCTTTTTTTCAAATTTCGTCTTCTGCAAAGACAAGAAAGAAGTTTTAACTGACCGCCCAAATAAGCCAAAGGAGGTAGCCTTGTGGAATATAGTAAATGGTGAAAACGTCTTAAACATCGTTGCTGACGAAGAAATTGCTACCTTTGCCATTTCGGAAGACGGGTCACAAGTTGCTTTTTCCCAAGTGACTTTTGAAATTGTTATTTTTGATCGAGTTAACGAAAGTGTCCAGAGGATTCTTCGAACTGAGTCGGTGGTTTGTGGGCTGATGCATTTCACACCCGATACTGAGAACACTCTTGTTTGCGGGTTTCTTGGTTTTACTGTCGAGTATGAATGTGGCACTTATAAACGTTTATTTTGTGATCGACCACAGTTTTTAACTGTTAATTCCGATCTCGTTTTTGATTCTGTTCAACCTAGAGCTTTTAGGTTATGGCCATACGACTCATCAAGCACTTTGGATTGGGAATTGGGATACTGGGAATTAACGATGCAGGACTATTGGGTGCATTGCGTAATCCCCAGTAAGTTTTTGTACGCAGGCTCCTACATCAGACTCAATAAAGAGTCGGTATTGGCTGGTAGCCCAGCTTGCAAGTACGTCGCTATGGTAAACACTGAAGAGGTGTTTCGATTGCAGAATGGTGGAGTTGTCGTGAAGATTGCATTCTCTCTAGAAGGAGATGCCATTTATTCCATTACTTCAGAATCAGAATCTCTTCATCATAACTTAACGTTGACTGTTTTTAGAATGTCAAATAATGAGCTGTTGAGCACAAAAATATTCCCTGGCCCCATTTCCATCTTTCCAACAAGAGATGGCGTCATGCTTCGAAAACATGACAGAGTCACGGAGTTATGGAGCTTTGACATGTCCACTTGTCTTAGACCTCTTCCCAAGGTTACCGAATACGAGAAAGTTTATACTATTTCAGAGGTATTTATAGCCTGTTGTTATTCGGTGCCATTTTACGAACTGTCGGAGGATTTAGAGAATGAGGGTTCAGATAATTCAGAAGACTGGCCTAATGATATAGACGAATGGTGTGCCGATTCTCAAGACCATTGGGTTATTGACGTCTTGGACGTGACCAGTGCTGGCAGCAGGATTGTTTCATCACTGAAGGCCGATTTGGATGCCGATGAAATGATAATTTCAGTTCTATGTAGTGATCCAAGTCAAGTGTTACTTTGTACTCTTAAAGAGGAAGATGTTGGAGTTCTCTTCTTGGAGAACGTAAAACTCAGTTTAAGGAAAAACGGTTTGATTGTGTGGGAAAGAACAACGTGCTGGATTGATTCTATAATTGAGTCACACCTGCTCTGTTTACCTAGAAATGAATTTGTTGTCACTTGGAATACTCTTGACCAAGGTCATGGCTTGCATGTACTTAATGCAGATACGGGAGAAACATTACACGTCTTCCTTGGAGAACAAAATGACATTATTGATTGTAAGTTTCTCGATGATGAATCTGTGGTTTGCTGCAGTGAGGACAACTTCCTTCGATTGTATAATATCAGAACAGGAGATCTACTAAGTGTTCTAGACATTGGAGAGCAACCGTTCTCTTTGGGAGCTTGTTTGTACCAGCCTCTTGTCGCCATTGGTTTGTCCGGCACAAGAATAAAATTCGTCCACGTACAGTTGCCAAAAGAAACTAAAAAGACTGAAAGGTTAGTTTCTTTTATCAGTTTCTTGGTCATCGCGGTAGATTAACTATATAGTGAAGCCCCTAAAACCAACCCTCGTTCTGCCATCAAAATGCCATCGCATAAAAGAGGGTTTCAGATAAGAAAATGAGTGTGTGTTTTCTTTGGTCGAAGCAAATGCTGCGTCCTAGTGACGGTGTCCACTGAACTCAGGCAACAACATGATATTTTCTTTTGGTACCTGTTGGTTCGAGTTGGTTGTAAAACCACTTTCGAGATTTTTAACGTGGTTTAGGACTAGAACTCCTTTTTTCGTAGATCCTCCACCGCACAATGCAAGGCTGTCTATCTTAGGTCCTTCACAGATGCCTAGTCCCTTAATGAACAGAGTAACGCAACTGGGTCTTTACATGAAACTAACGACTTTCTTATATAAATTGAATTGTAGCCTCAGTCATCGAACGCCAGTGAATTAACCTCCTTAGAAGTCTCAGAGGAACTGAAACTTGACAAAAAGAGTTGGATTCTCAAATCAACGCCCCTGAATTTATCTGCCTTTCTGAGAACTCGTTGAGGGAGCTCCGTGAACACTGAAGAAGCAATTGCGCAGCGAGGATTGAAATCCATTGGAATAGCCCTGAGGGACTGGATTTTAGTTTTCAAGTTAGACATGTTTGAAATTTGCATATCATCACAGGGGGGAGGGGGTGGGGTTACATGGAAAGGAACAGGGGTGTGGATACCCCTTAATGAACCTATCAAGATCAGAATGTTTCAGTAATTAACCGATTCGATTGCTTTGAAATTGAAACATAGCCTGGAGAGTAGCATAAAAACGTTTATCTCGAAGGTTACAAAAAATTAATCGGGTTATGAGAATATTAGTAGAATTTTGCCTGTGCTGCATCATGGCATTAAGGGTATTCCAAGTTGACGCTAGCTGTCTGTAGAAACTAATGTACAACGGCCATATCGTGGGAATTGTAAGTAGTTACAGAGCTTAAACACAAAAATTACCCAGATACACAAGTGAAAATCAAGTGGTTGGTGTTACTGTATAACAGTGAAAACAGTCAGATCTTTTTGCAGTAACGAGAAGGTGAAGCAAGCTCACTCGATCTAATATTACTTCTCATTTAGAAGAGGCCGGAAGCGCGTGCTTTTTTCTTGCAAAATCGCGAGCAATTAATCCATATTTATAACTTGCATTCCGCTATTTCGTTTAGCATACAGCTATTTCGAGAAAGGTTGTAGGAAAAAGTGCACGCGACAATCCCGAAAGGCATTGTGGATGGTTTTTAGTTCACTGTTTTTCAAGGAAATTTGAAAGAATGGCACGAGAGGCCATGGACGTATGTTTACATGGGCTAAAGGAAAGCAACAAAAGTAGGTTAAACAGCTACAGTGTCAGAAACAGTGTATTGATCACATCCCATATTACCTTTCGGGATTGTCGCGTTCACAGTTTTTCCGACCACCTCTCTCGCAATAACTGTATATTAATCCTTTCCACGGCTGTTAAAGACAAGTTGTTTTAAAAAAGTATTTTGTAGTTTGGAATGCCGATACAACGAGCTGTCAGTAGACTGGGAGAATGTACTAATTTTAACGGGCCTACGGGGGTACTGTTGTAATTAACTTACGGTTCTTTGGCACTCCGTTACTACGATGTTACGTTGTGTCTGCGTCGAGTCTGCATTGTGTCTTACCGTCCTTTGGCACTTCGTTACTACGACGTCTGCGTCTTATTCCATACTTACTTATTATTGCAAATGGGGAGACAAATATCACTCGTTATTATAAAGCTACTTAAGACTGTTTTCACCCTGCGATTAGTCAATTTGCGGTCCATAACCTACTGTAGGGACCAAAAAAAAAATCAAATCAAATACTCATTTTTATCTCGAGAAATGTATTTACATTCGGCGGAGCTAAACGTAGTGGCAGTGACAGAGAATGTAAATACTTTCCTATTGGTATGAACGCACGTGAGCCGTTATGGCGTTAATTGACTCTATTGTTATTAGGTATATAAGGTTTTGACAGTTGTAATATGTATTCATCTCAGCTCTCGAACTATCAACTTTTATTTTTATATCTTACTTTATTCATCTATCGATTGATTTTTTACCTTTAACCCCCAGAGGTTGTGCGACCGCATCGGTTGGGGAATACGTTCCCAATTTTTTCCCATTGGGTTTTTGGGTTTTCGCATCAGGCGGCGCACGTGAATAGTTTAGCCTGAGTGACTTTATTTAGGGATATTTGTATGCCATTCTTTCGTTATGATGTTGAACTTTGTATGATATTTGGACGGCATTAAACACTCAGGCTCCTTAGTTCGAGCTGCACACCCATTCCCGTCTCTTAGTCGTGAATATAAATAGGAAAAATATTTTAAACAAAGAATATGTCTGTAAACCCTGAGAACTTAGATGATGACTTCGCCCCTCCACGTTTTTACCTGTGTTTATTTGAGAACGAAGCAGATGAAGAAACTGGTTCGTTATCTTACCTAAGAAGAAAATTTTAGTCAGTAATCGAAAATTTAAACGAGGGTCAAGGTTCTGAAGGTTAAGAAGACGAGAATGGACTGGAAGAGATTTGAGACGTTTCCCTAAAGAATAAGAAGCGAATCATTCAACAATGATGCCAAACCCACCTTGACAAGCTTCTACTTTGTAATGTGCTATTTTTTTCGTGTGCCAATAAAAACTTTCTTTTTCTGAAGCCTATCAAATTACTGTCACATCGCTTGTCCTGCACTTGTTTCCGGTCCCCAAACAGGAAGTCATACAACATACATCTTGTTAGCCTCGTTTTCTCGGTCCGTATTTTAAATTAAGGAACCTTGTTTTCTTTCGATCAATTTATGGCCCAAACGGGAATAAATCGATGAAAAGCCTTGGTCCGTAATTTACAGTACCGAGACCAAAACGAGGCTAATATGCAAGAGGTAATTATACCGGAAAGCTCGTTATTCAGGCGGGTTTCCTATTCTCCTTAAGTTTTTTCTTCTTATCAAAAAATTCAGTAGGCAAATTTTCAGATGAGAATACATTTTACAGTACTTGGTAGGGCGTTTTTTTACCTGAGTGCCTTGCTTGGGAGACTGGACGACCACTCCCTACGTAATCGACGTTAGGTGCTATCTTCTATCTCTGTTTGTAATCAAGTCCAGATATTACGCGTACTCTGATTGGTACTCTGATTGATTACTCTGAAAAAGGGTGCTTTATGAGATATTAAACACGAAGCTAAAGCTGTCACGCAATCTGCCAATAATTTGTTTTAAAAATTAGGAAGTAACCCGAGGGGAATTTAACGGATTCTTTATCATAAGGCAAATAAAGAAGCTTTGACTGCGCTCTGTTCTGTAGTAAAGCACTTAAGAGGCGGCTAGAGTACTTAAGAAGTAGGGAGAAACACTCAACTACGTTTTTCTCGTTTGCTCCTACACTTCTTGAGTGCTCTAGCCGCTTCCTAAGTGCCTTACAACAGATCAAAGTACAGTCTAGGCTTCTTTATTTGTTAATAGGGACTTTAAGATCCAACGACGCGACGGCAATGAGAACGTCGCTCAAAAAGTGAATTTGCGTTCTTTCAGTCTATATTGCAGTTATTCCTACCCACTTACTTTGTCAAATGTAGGCGAATCCTCCTGGAGTTGAATTCGTAGGCAACATATCCGAGTACAGTAGGAGAAATAAAATTTCGTCGTTGCTTGTTTACGTCCTCCATAAAACGCGAAATTACGCATGTTCACGTCGTAGTCGTGCAAAAACGGGCAGAGAAATGTACAAAAAAGCATGGTGCACGTGCAAAGTTGTTGTTTTGCTAATCAAACCTATTGTTTTTTTGACGTTCTCGTTACCGACCGCGTCGTTGGATCTTAAAGTCCCTAATTACTTTTAGTGTACAACAACCAGCCATCCCTGAAGGCCCCAAGAGAGTTCGCCTGTCGCAGCTCAGTAGGAAGGCTATTCCAAAGAACTGCTCCGGAGGAACTGAAACTATTTTTCATAAAGTTTGAAAAAGGAAGAGGAATATTGAGTTTGCTGTTGGTGTCTCTTAAAGAGCAAGTGGAGATATTGCAATGATAGTTAGCTTTCTACTCACCTTCCTCGACCTTTATGTAAAGTTTCCCGGCAGTCCAGAAACTATAAGGGAATTAGCATAAGCTTTAGGCGCAACGATTTCTGAGGTCGTATGGGAAGACAAGCGTTACTTATGATTGGTTAATGGTTGCCTTGAATACCATCGACCAATCAGAACTAACATTTGTCCACCAAAACGATCCCAGAAATCATTACGTCGAAAGCTTGTACCCATTATCCTTGTAGTCGTAGGAGTGAGGAACTGATTATGCAGAAATAAATACAGAAAAGGTCATCAAAGTTAAAAATGCACGCAACTTATGCAGTTGCGAAAAGAAAGCCTGAAAAAATTCGGGGTTGCAGAGATTCGAACCCTGACCTCTGCGAAATTTGAGTAAAAGCAAGAGAGTATCGTAAGAGGGTGATTGCCGCTGTTGTTGAACTCTTTTCTTTTTCATTGTCGTAATCCTCAACAGCTTCTCTAAACTACTCTTATCCATGACGACAGTTCCTTCGAAGGGAAATGAGTTGACGGGACATAGCCTGCATGGCGTGTCTCCCTCGCGCGCCCTTTTCTTTTTCGCCCCCATCTAGGACTAAGACGTATTTGTTGGATTATAAATAAACGCTGGCCCATTGGCGCTCATTGAAGCAAAACAAAAATGACACTCCTTCCTTCTAATTGGAAAGTTTTCGAAACAGTCAAGCAAGATCAGTCTATGCAAATGCAGACAAGAGCTTGTCATGCTTAAACGTTCTAAATGTTAGATTCATCGATGGGCCACGTCACTTAGAACACTTTGTTTCTTTGTGAAACATGTACAGGAATCTACATGGAAGAGGCTTTGCAAGCGAATGTGGCAGCAAAAAGGTAACTTAATTAAAGATTAGCTTCAGGGCCTTGTGTGCCTCACAGATCGTTTCACAGAGCATTTATTACTACGTAGTGCAGTTTTATCTATATCACTTTTGATTTTCGGGATTCTGAAAAATTCCGATCGATGCCGACACTTTGCAACCTTCAAAGTTTACAAAAGATTTTTAGCAATAAACTGATAAACAATTCATGAAGCAAATATGATAATTGACCTTAAATTCTCTTAAGCTCTATTAGCTTCTAGCTACAAGCTCAATGTAGTTTTTAATTCAAAGCTTCTGTCGCCATTAGCTAATGTGCTCGATATCTAGCAAAAGTCATGACCAGAGTTGATAATATCGAAAGAACGAATATTTTTCGCGACCCTGAGTAGTGAGGAGACATATGTTCATATTTCCGCCTCAGTGACGAAACTAGGTCGCCGGTTTTAGTCATGAACGCCTGTGACCAGCCAGTTCAAATACATACACATATTATAAGTCGTAGCATACCACCCCTTTTCTGTCTACTAAAAAGGATGTCGGCGTGTTTATGCTTCTCTGTTGCCCTCGCTGTTAAAATCGTAGGTGACACGGTTGATAACCCTGCCGCAGTCATTGCGCGTTTTATGTGACACATTACGGCTCTTCTGCTTTTAGTTGGCAACAACAGATAAAAAAGCATCCCATTCGTCGGAATTAGTAAAAAACTTGAGAATTCACAAGTGAACGAAAAGCCAGTGGTCATATCGATTCTAAGTGTATACACACAAATGATGACTTACAAGGCCGATAAAGCTAATTGTCATGGAGTCAATATGGATTACCGTACTTCAACATTGAAAATATATGTAATACTACAGGCAATATAATTATGACGACAGTTAGGGTGTGCTCAGTTATCTTGCTTCTTATATCGAGTGTCGCGGTTATGAGCAAATTGATATGGTCCATGTCTGAGTTGTTGTCAGTTTTCTTATCTGTTTTGCACGTCAGTGTTGTGTTGCTTAGGTAGATTTTTTTCACCACCGTATTGTTCTCTCTGGCATTTAATAAACTGATACTGATAAACCGATAATTCATAATGCTTGGTTCTAACAAACAATCTGGTAGTAAATGATTTCTGAACTTCTTATACACTTGCTTCCATGCAAAAAGGAAAAGTCCTGTCTCTTGTAATTAAACCAACTAAACTCCCTAATATCCAGTAAAGCGGAACCTTGAGGGCTCAATAGCTGTTCTCCTGCTAATATAACGCGCTCGGTTAACCAACTCAAATCGTCAACAAATCTTACATCTAGTTGTTGTGTTCACTAAATACCCTCGACAGCAAATGTCGCGTTAAACACCCTTCTTGAAGGCATTGGTTTTTTCTTATCATAGTCATGCCAGTCATATTCATACTCTCCTAATTGTCTTATTAATTGTGCGGCTTGCCAACTCCTTTACGCGTGACTTCGTTTGTAAAGTTTCATGGTCTTGTAATCATGAAAATAAAAATTAAAAAACAAAACAAATGAAAGCAATGACAAAGCGAGTTGATCGTTAGTTGTGGTGTGACTCACGTTTTATCTTTCTTGCCAATGTAGGTTAACAATGAATTTCCAAGACTTGAACGTTTTCTTCTGCATCAAATTTGCTAAATGGCGACTGCATCACCTTCACCCCTGGCCAGCTCTCCAGCGAAGACAAATGGAAACAAGCTGAGCAGGCTTCTCATCGATGGCGGAACAACGGTGCTGAGGAATATTTTCGATCATTATCACCCACCTGGCAACTTGGTTTCTGACCTCAATTTCAATTACTCCATTCTTAACAACCTTTTGCGTAAAAGAGTGCTAAATGGCCATCAGTGGGACAAACTCTTCCCCCCTGGTGGAGGGGTGCCAGACTCCAACACGTTTGACATCACTCTTCTGTTCCTGCTGCTAACTACCATTTGCGGCTTATCCCCTCCCCTGACAGGATGGCACACCAAGCCGCCCCCTGGTGATAACACTCTTGAGGCTAACCTTGCTCGCGTTAAGTTCTTCCGGAATGAGTTGTATGGTCACGTGACGTCCACAGGGGTTGATGCGACATCTTTCTCCTCCTTCTGGCATGAAATAAGCATTACTCTTCATTCGCTGGGTTTAGATCAAGCTGATATTGACAGACTGAAGGCAGAGCATGGAACAGAGGAAGATTACCTTGATGCCTTAATTGAGTGGGCTGACAGTGAAGTGGACATAAAAACGCAGCTGAAAGACATCCACCAGACGCAACTAAAACTCAGTAAAACAGTTGAAGATGGCAATTTAAACATGGAAGAGCTACGTCAAGCCCTAAGCAAAACTCAGGATGTTGTAGATGAAGCAGTGGAGATAGAACTCAAAGGACATCAAGAATTGAGGGCAGCACACCAGGAAAGCATGTCACGTTTAGAGGGAGTGTGTGAGTCCCAAACTAAAACAAGCCAAGCTGTGGACGAAATTCGTGAATCAATCCAAGAAGTAAAACAGGAAGTAAAAGGCTTGACGAAAAAGAAAAGCGAGCACGCAGATGAAGTGCTTAGGACCCTTGTGAAGTTTGAATTCAAAGGAGACATAGAATTTCATGCAAAGAAATTCCAGGAAGGAACTCGTGAGTGGATCTTCAAGAGCATCGAAGACTGGTTAGACGACCGGAGCTCGCCACATCGGGCGATGGTAATCAGTGGAAATCCAGGAATGGGAAAGACTGTTATCTCCGCTGTTGTTTCGCAAAGAATTCAAAAAGCTGGAAGACTCTCGGGAAGCCACTTTTGTCAGCATGACGATTCACGCTACCGAGATCCACATTTAATGCTCCAGTCTTTGGCCTGTCACTTATGTCAAGCGATGCCAAATTACAAAGATGCTCTAGTGGAACAGCTGTCAAGAAATCTGGGTAAAGACCTCAACAACATGGGTATAAAAGAGCTGTTTGCGTTGCTGTTTAAAGAGCCTCTAAGCACAGTGCAAGATCCTGAAAGAAACATTCTAATAGTCATAGATGGCCTCGATGAAAGCGAGTACAAAGGACGCAGTGAGCTTCTACATGTAATCAGTAACCATTTCTCTATGCTTCCAGTCTGGATCAGAATTTTGATCACAACTCGTCCAGAGAAGAACGTTACAGAGGCATTGCGACATTTGAAACCAATAGAGCTTGAACAAAAACAAGAAGAAAACTTAAAGGACATTCAAACCTTGTTTGAAACACAACTCAGCCTCAAAATTGGTGAGGAGCATAAACATGTTCTCTTGAAAGAGCTGGTCAAGAAATCAGAAGGCCTGTTTATTTACGCTTACTTTATAGTGGATTTTATCCAAAAGAATGTTTCAATTCTCACTCCTGATCAGGTGGAAAGTGTGTTACCTTCAGATATTTCATCCGTTTACTTGTCCTATTTTACACGGTTAGAGGATGAACTTTGCAAAGAGCTTAATGCAGATGAGGAACACTTTTTGCGTTTCCTGTGTGCATTGACCGCTGCAAGGGAACCATTACCAGTAGAATTCATCGCCAAAATTCTAAACCCGGGAGGAAAATCTTTGACTGCGCAACGAAAAATTAACAAGGCGATATCTTGCATCTCTACACTGTTACCAGTTCGGGAGGGTCGTCTTCACTTCTTTCACAAGTCAATCAAGGACTGGCTAGTAGCATCATCGCCCTATGAACCACATGATTTCACCGTGGACGAGAAAGAAGGTGATACTGTCCTTTCTGATCTGTGTGCTTCTGAACTCGATAGCTTGCAGCGAAAAGGGGTTCATGGCAAACAGTTTTCGAATACTGAAACATATGCTTTGCATCATGGTACTCAGCACATGCTTGAGGTCACCGATCATGACTGCGCTGACAAATCAAGAACCAATAGTGTCACAGTAGAACAGGTGTACCGATACGCAACAGAAGTCGAACTTATTTATGCAAAACTTTGTGTTAAGAGCACATCAGCTATAGAAGATCTTCTCAGCCTCCACCGTGAGAATTCCGGAATAGTAAGCGAGGAAAAAGATTTTGTTGTGACTTCTCTCCTAAGTCTTCTGAGAAAACACTCTTACATCTTGTTTGATTACCCTCACCTATTTTTCCAGTGTTTGATTAACGAAGGTACCCATGGATTATCGTCTACAGCAGCAGGTATTGTTAAGTCATCAACTCCAAAGGTGCCATACATGAAGTATTTAGACAATGAGAAACAAAAGGGAGCCGTTCAGGGACGATTTTACTGTTCAGATAAAATCGCATGTTTTGATATTTCACCTAAATTGGATTACATGGTATGCGAGTGTCGAGATGAAACAATCCATCTTTTTTCCCTGCTGACTGGTACCAAAGTATGGGTTCGTCCATCGTTAACAAACAGAAGGTATAGTTCCAAAGAGGCATATGCGGGTACTGGTGCATATCGACAAACTGGGCATTTTCTGTCATTTTATCATTCTGTCACATTTCATCCAAATGGGAAGTCGGTAATACCAGGAACTCTTAAATATGTTTACACCATTAGTGGAGATAGGGAAGAACTTTTTGTGGACAGTGACTGCACATTTTCATATTGCTTCTTACGATCTTATAAAGACAAGGAAGTGATATTTACAGATTGCCCAGATGATCCAAAGCAGATAATCACTTGGGATATGGAGAATGGCCAGAAGCTCAAAGTTATTATCGATTCGGATAAGGAAATTTCATCCTTTACTATTTCTGGCGATGGGTCACGTATCGCTATTTCTGAAGTGACTGGTAAGATTACTATTTTTTACCTAAGAGACGATTTTGGTTTGATATTCCCTGACGCTGGTAAAGATGACTGGGTGTGTGGGTTGATGCATTTCACATCCGATAATGATACTCTGGTTTGTGGATGTCTATTAGCCTCTTGCGAGGACTACACATGCCCGTTTGATGCGTTAGAACCTGACGAAAGAAAACCAACAGTTTCCTTCAAAAATCCTCTGAATAACGTTTCCCTGCCAGATCCGCATTTTGAACCTGTTGATCCCAGAACCTTCGTGTTATGGCCCTCTGCTCCACCAAGCGCTTTGACTGAATGTACTTTTATGGAGCGGGATGAAGGACCCTCCTGGGCGTCGAAGGTGCAGAGAGAGATTCCATATTTGTTCGCAGGTTCCTACATCAGTCTCAACAATGAAACAATTCTGGTTGGTAGCCCAGATCACAAATACGTTACGATGTTAAATGTTGGTCTACTGCAAAGCGAGTCCGACTCGACTTACTCCTCGAACGTTAACGTGGGTGTCAGGAAGATTATTTTTTCTATGGAAGGCGATGCAGTATACGTCGTAAGTTCAGGCCAGTTTGTCTACCTTAGCTCAGAAGAGGTAAAGATAACTATCTGGAGACTGTCAAGTCGAGAATTTCTGAAGACAAAGACATTCTTTGGCCCTGTGTCGATCGTTCCAACGAAGGAAGGTCTTGTACTCTTTAAAAATGATCGTGTAGCAGAGTTGTGGAATTTCGACCTGTCGGAGTGCATTCGAAGTATTGTTAAACTTACCAGTGATACTAGTATTGTGTATTCAGTAACCTTGATACCAGTATCAGATGAACTGATAGCCTTTTATTATTCGCCACAATCACGGGAACCAATTTATATCAGAAGTCTAGAATCTGAAGAAAACGAAAACTTACACCACGACTTGTTAGAGTGTACATCTCTCGAAAATTGTAGAGAGTATTGTCTTGACTTTATAAGCACAACCAGCGTTCAGGGGGGAAAGCTTGTGTCCTCGCTAAGGTTCACAAGTTACGACAAAGGAGGATACTTATATAACATTTCATGCAATAGTCCGAGCAATGTTTTGGTTTGCCGTTTTGAAGGGCGATCCAGGGGACCTATAGACGAGGGGGAGGTCACAGTTAGTTTATTCAACATAGGATCAGTTAAATGGGAACGAATCGCGGATAATTCATATGTTCGCGACGAACACATGATTTTCTCGCCCAAGAATGAGTTTGTTGTTACGTGGAACACTCTCGACGAAGGTCAAGGTCTACATGTTCTTGACGCAGATACTGGAGAAACACTGCACGTTCTTCTTAGAGACCAGAACGACATTATTGAATGTAAGTTTTTAGATGACGAATCTCTGGTATGCTGCAGTGGGGACAACTTCCTTCGACTGTGTAATATCAGAACCGGGGATCTGCTAAGTGTTCTAGACATTGGAGAGCAACCGCTCTGTTTGGGAGCCTGTCTGTACCAGCCTCTTGTCGCCATTGGTTTGTCCGGTACAAGAATAAAATTCGTCCACGTACAGTTGCCAACAGAATCTAAAAAGAAGAATTAAAGGTGAGCTTTTCTCTACTCGGTCAAAAATAGGCGGCACAAGGTCAGTTTCGCGAGTTACTGTAACCTAACAGATCGTAACAGTGCCTAGACTCTACGAGCAGTGTCTATTATTTCAGTCCGTGGAGCGAAAGGCGCGAAACACGCAAATAAGGGCGCGCGCGGCTGAGGGTGCGGGCTCCATCGCGCGAGTACTTTCTACACTAAAAAGTTGAAAGGGACTTTAAGATCCAACGACGCGACAGCAACGAAAACGTCACTTAAAAAGTAAATTTGCGTTCTTCATTCTTCATCGCGATTATTCCTACTTACTTACTTGGTCAAATGTACGCGAACACTCCCGAATTTGAATTCCAAGGGACCATACTCAGTTTCAGAAAGCGAAATAAAATTTCTTCGTTGCTTGTTTACGTTGTCCATAAAACACGAAATTAGGCATTTTCACGTCTTACTTGTGCAAAAACGACAAAGAAATGTACAAAAAAGCTTGATGCATGTGCAAAGTTGTTGTTTTGTTTATTAAACCCTTTATTGTAGAAGTTTTCGTTGCCGCCCCGTCGTTGAATCTTAAAAGTCCCTAATTTGAAGAAAATAGAGGACTACTTGGAGCCTAAAACAGGAGGCATAACTGATTATGGCTCCTGGCCTAAACAGTACCCACACCACAACACAATTAGTCGATATGATTCTAGAGTGAATATTATTCTTACAAAGTTTCGCACGAAAATTCATAAATGGTATTCCGCTAGTTTGGGGGAACAATTACCGGTGTTACAAACGGTATAATACCGTTCTTTGATCTGCTTATGAAAAGGAACAGCGCCAAAATTGAAGAGAGAGCCGACCATAAAGTTAAGTGAAATGTACTAAAGACGGTTTTGAAAGATTTGTACTGTAGGACACAGATGACAGTGAAGCACGGAGAGAATATAGAAAAATCTACTGAGAAGAAGAACAATGTTTGAAATTACCTAAAATCATCGTCATTACGTCCACGACTTAAGCAACTTTAAGAATTATTTTGTTTTGTAACGTGACATAGTACTAAATTTCGCAACTTTTATTTTTCTTCCATTCTGGTTTTCGCGAGTTGTAGATTTCGGGATTGTTTTGAATTTGCGAAAAACGCGAATTTTAGACTTGATAGCTACCAGCTTTCTTAAATAACACAAGCGACTTTCTGTTTTCAGTTGCAGTTTCAAGACAAGTAAATTGAGCGACTTCTGGTGGTCTGTCATCAGCCGGGCACAAAGAGCTGGATTCTTCAAATCAGTGACCATGATCTTTATTTAGTATTGTGTTTGACGATGGATAAAGAGCATGAAGAGAAATGATTGCAAAAGCTGGAATTCAAATCCATTTGAAGAGCCCTGGATGCAAGCTGCTATATTCAGGAATTGAAAGAGACATGTATATTATGAACTTAGTGATATTTGATATGAAGTAGCGATATTTGGCATAAATACCACTCGTGCTATTTCAAAATCGTCTCAAATTTCACTCGCCTAACGGCTCGTGAAATTACGTATAACACTGAATTTCAAAATATCACTCGTGGTATTATTCGTTTATGCTACTACCCGCAAAGGTTTTGTAATTTTCACATGTAGTTATTTCAAATTAAGCTGAAATACCACTGCTCTAAGCCAATCAACTTGGAGAAATTTCTCATGTAGTAGTATAACGAACGTACCGAATAGCGGATATAGGGAAGGGTCGGGGATCGGAGGGAGGGTCCGTAAAAAGCACCAATCAGACCAATTGCTTTGAAACTGGAAAAAAGGCTGAACATTCGCATACAGCCTTCATTTGGTAGCTTACGATGGAACTTGTTTTTCACCCTTAATCATGATCAGTATACCTTTTTCAAACCAATGGCTTGTTACAAAAATTGACGAAATATGAGCAAAACGTACAGCTAAACAGACAAGAAGAACGTTGTGAACATTTTTTTTTCTGTATAGCTATTTTGTGAATGTTACAGATGCCTGAAAGTGAATCACATTTCCCAGTAACACTATAGTAAAAAATAACTATACTAATGTGCGGTAGTGATGTCCGGGTCATGTTAACACTCGGTTCCATGACCCGGACTGCACCACACTGCTGTGTTTCTGAGACTTGACACGCGCATCAACTTGAGTTTGATTTATATATCAGTTAAAATTGTGTGTTGCACGATGATCATGACAGTAGTGGTCTACGTAGTTGACGTTGCCTTGTAGAAGTAATGTGTAACGGCTACAAAGGGTGAAAATTATCTGCAGTTAAAGAGATTCAACAATTGAAATGAGTTGAACTTCCCTACTCGATCCTCTCTTACCTAACCCCTCTTTATCAAAACTCTTAGATCCAGCCACGTTACCTACCCTACTTGCAGAGGTTTGTCTGTTCCGGAATGGTTTGTAAACAAGCCAACTACCGAATATTTTAGCTACGAAAAAGACTTCATAAATGATAAAAACCATTCTGAAAAGAAACCCCCGCCTGCTGACACGGTAACGCTACCATGTTGTTACTAGGCTGATTCAGCAACAGAAGGGGAACGTCAGTTGACGACGGAAAAGCGCGCAGAAAGGACTACACGTGACTTTCTGTGCACAAGTTGCAGCTCTTCCATTGGTCAAGCCAGTTGCTGTATTTGCACGCGCCTTTGTCAATTGACGTCCCCGTTCTGTTGCTAACAGTTGAGCAAAGAGCAAGGGAGAGGGTCTGGTTTCTTTTTTCCTTTTTTTCGTAAAATGACTGGCAGTGAAATCAGTTTATTACTCGAATTCCACAATTTGATGTTCTGGATATGTTACGAACTGTGCATGTTATAAGGTCAACCTGATGGTACAATCAAGAACTAGCAAAGTGTCAGAAAACGGGGATAATTCATGGGGTCATATTGTACAGTGGAGTCTCAATATGTTTAGAACCTCTGCATAATCACCGTACCGGTACAATGTGAAGTATAAAGTACAGTGAAACCCCGTTAATACGGACAGTGAGGGGACCATGGAAAGTGTCCGTATTAAGCGGGTTGAATTTAGAGAGAATATAAGGACTTTCTTTCCCCAGGGACAAAGCAAACTGCCCGTAATACATGTAATGAGGTGTCCGTATTAGGCCGGTGTTCGTAAAGCGAGGTTTGACCATATGGAACCAGACCACACAAGAGAGGATCCTCTCTTAGCACTCCATATAACTCTTATGTACCTTCTTT